ATTTCCTCCTGTAGTAACACTGGACCAATAAGAGACTCTCACTGGATCTTTAAGGAGAACAGTTTATAACTGATATAGCTATCCAGTATCAATAAAGTTGGTTTAGTTTAGGTTTTCTCCTGTGGTAACACTGGATCAATAAGAGATGATCCTTACTGGACCACTAGGAAGAACAGTTCAGAACTGATAGAGCCATCCAGTATAAATAAAGTTAGTTTAGTTTAGGTTTCCTCCTGTAGTAACACTGGATCAATAAAAGATGATCTTTACTGGACCTCTGGGCAGAACAGTTTAGAACTGATAGAACTATCCAGTATAAATAAAGTTAGTATGGGTTTCCTCCTGTAGTAACACTGGATCAATGAGAGATGATCCTCACTGGACCTCAAAGAAGAATAGTATAGAACTGATAGAGCTATCCAGTATAAATAAAGTTAGTTTAGTTTAGATTTCCTCCTGTAGTAACACTGAATCAACCAGAGATGATCCTTACTGGACCTCTAGGAAGAACAGTTTAGAACTGATAGAGCTATTCAGTATAAATGAAGTTGGTCAACCTTGACTCTGCTTTTCTTTCAACTTAGGATGGTTACTGGGGTCTTACATCCAGCACGGGATGTAAACCTTGTGACTGCGATCCGGGCGGATCTTATGACAACTTTTGTGACGCTGTTACCGGACAGTGCCGTTGTAGACCTGGGATTGAAGGAAGAAAATGTGACCGTGTGATTCCTGGGTACTACTATGCCCTTTCTGATAACCTCAAGTACGAAGCCGAGGACGCCAGAGAGATTGGAGTGAGTATAAAGCATTTGAACATAGGCGCATGGAAAGAAAAAAGTTAGGGGGCTGAGAAAAATTTGCTCAACCTATTACAAAATATTCAGCGTCCTATTCCAAGTATCTGATACAATGTCTCTATTTTCTAGAGAACAACGACCAATCTGCTGGAACGACCTCAAGGTACTAAGGTTGTCTGGACAGATGTTGGAAGTCAAAACATCTCTGAAGGAAATGGTGTTGAGTTTGTTGTGACGAATGTTCCCTTCACTGGAAATTATAAAATACTCATGAGATTCTATCCAAAGGTGAGATAAGTTCATCTTCTTCAAATTCACCATCATCTTCACTGTAAACTTCGCTATCATCATGTTTCGCTCGCTACTCTGGTTTAAATAAATGATTACAAAGCCCAGTCGAATTGTAATCAAGACCCAACGTTTCGACACTCCAGTCTAGTGTCTTCATCAGGGGTG